AGTGCTTCTAATAAAGCAATAAAGCTTCTTGTCCATGCTATGGACAAGACATCCTTCCTCTCAAAGAGCAAAAGGCATTTTCTCTGTAGGACAGCAAACAACAAAAAGTATTATTTCATTCAGAGTTGGACAAAGGCCTTTATGTAAATTCTGCTATCCAGTAAAGACTATGTACAAACACATGCAAAAAGCACTTAAAAGTTTGCTCCCTAGGCTTAACTGTCAAGGCACTCCTCACTTCTACCAACAGTTTAGTCTGGTCTTGTCAGAAGCTTATTCTTCTAATTGCCAGCACAAAAGGTTTTTAATTTATGTTTTGACAGCGAAAATTCTACATCTTCATAGATACAAAGAACTGTCAATAGTGCCAGCACAGAGGCAAAGGAACCAGATGCAGTACTAACAGCTGGGGGAGACTGCAATGATTCTATAAAAAAGTTAAGAAAAACATCTGCTTATAGTTTGATAAAAGCTATCTGTCTAAATCCAACCTAGAAAATCAGATCCTGCTACAGCTGGCATAGAGATTATGAACATCTCACAGAACAAAAAGCCCCACCACCCTGTTTAGAAATAATAGGTTTTGATCAAGAGGATATTTCCTTCACTTCTGTCCTTTTTATTATAAAAAGAGAAATATAAACCAACTCACAATATTCTGACGTCTAAAGGGCAAGACAGCAAGCTTGCAATTGCTTTCTAAGCTTAGAAGAATTTACTTCAGTAAAATATTCCACATGTAAAATAAAGCTACACTATTTCTCACACCCTTAGGTTGAACGTGGGCCTTTAGGTCGAGTCTTTCTCTACTTTGCTGAAATGCTGGGTTGGAATTGGTGCACAAAGGCTCTCGCCTCTCTTCCGAGCTCAGATCTATCTCATTTCATCAGCTTTAAATTCACATCCAGGTACCACAGGCATAAAATCAGAATGCTTTTTGAAAGCCACAACATGAAAAGTTTTTAAACGAGCTGCACAGAAAAGCATTTACACGCAGAATACGTCAGCAATAAAAGACACTGCACGGCCAAGACATGTGCCAGTACCTCACGGTATGACAAGGAACAAGGTGTTTAGCAGCTCCTGGACCTGAGCACCAGGTATTTCCTTTCCAAGCAGAGGTGCTTAAGCGCAGGCCGGAGGGAAGGGGATCAGATCCTCCTGGCGCAGAGCTACTTCACCTGCCCTCTGTAAGCTGTCCTCGCTGCGGGCGGGGGGCTCCTGCTGCCCGGGCCGCCGCCCCCGGCCCAGCCGCTCCCAGCGCCGCGCAGGGGCCGCAGGGGCGGTGGTCGCCGCCACCCGGCTGAAGGCTTTGCCCGCAGGGACCCCCTCACCCGCAGGGCAGGGACGGGACCCCGGCCCGGCGTCACGGGCCTCCCTCCCCGTGCCCCCGCCCCGGCCGGCCCAGGGCCGGTGCCAGTCCCGAGGGACCCTCCCGCCACCGCCGGGGTAAGGACGCCATGGAGAGCCGCGTTGCCATGGCAACCCCCCTCCCGCCCCAGGGGCCTCGCCACAGCGGGGCGGCGATCCCCGCGCCCCCCGCGCCGCCTCACGGCCCCCGCACGGAGGATACAGCTTGAAGCCGCGGAGGATCTCCTTGGCCCGCTCGTCCGTGGCCGACATGGTCCTGCCGCGCCGCGGGCGGGCGGACGGGGCTGGGCCGGGCCTGGCGGGAGCGCGGCGGTGACAGCGGAGCCTCAGGACCCCCCGCCCCTCCCTCCCGCGCACCCGCCACTGCCCGGCGCAACCAACCCCAGCGGCCGCCAGCGGCCGCCCGCCGCCACGCCGACCAATCAGCCGCTGCCGTCCCCTCCTCGCCCCGCCTCCTGGCGCAGGAATGACAGCGGTACTGACCAATCAGACAGCGCTCTCCCTCATTCAAGGGTGGGTGCGCAGCGGTCGCCGAGACTTTTCGGTTGGGCCTGACGTGGCCGCGATGGAGGCGCCGCAGGATGACCGGGCAGGGGGAGCGGGCGGTCCCCGGCTCCGGGAGGCCTCAGCGGGGAGCGGTCGAGGGGGTGAGAAGCCGCCCCGGGCCTCGTCAGCGGCGGCCGAGCGGCCCCGAGCCGCTGGAGCTGGGCTGGTGCTTCTCCCCGGGCAGTGAGGGTCCCGAAGTTCCGTCTCCGAGCTGCTCGCGGAGCTCCGCCCGTGAGCTCGGGTGATGTGGGGACCCGGGTGCTCAGCCCCGGAGCGGCTGCTGCCGGAGACCTTCAGAGCCCACCTGGACCAGTTCTGTGTCATCTGCTCCAGGTGACCCTGCCTTGGCAGGGGTTGGACTGGGTGATCGCCAGAGCTCCCTCCCAAACCTCGCCCTTCTGAGGTTCTGCGTGTTGCGAGGCCGGAGCCAACAGCACCAGCATTGTGGAGCAGGTTAAAGATAAATAGTGTGCTACCCCTGGAACAAAGGCAGCCTTCTTTGTGCTGCAGAAATTTGAATCACAGATCAGTTGGAGTTGAAAGGGACTTAGAGACCATCCAGATTGGCCTTGAACGCATCCAGGGATGGGCCATCCATAGCTTTGCCAGGCAACCTGTCAGTGCCTCAGCACCCTCACAGGAAAGAATTCCATCCTTATATCTAACCTAAATCTGCCTTCTGTCATTTTGAAGCCATGCCCCTTGTTCTATCACTAGAACTCTATTGCCTTGTTAAAAGTCCCTCTCCAGCTTTCTTGTAGGATCCCTTCAGGTACAGAAAGGCCTGAATTATGTCACCCTGGAACCTTCTCCAGGCTGAACAATGCAAATTCTTCCAGCCTTTCCTCATCAGAGAGGTGCTCCAGCCCTCTATTAATCTTTATAGCCTTTATGTTTGTGTAGCAGAGTTGATTGTGGAGGGGAAAGTCTCAGATTTGTTAGCACATTTCAGAAGCCAGTCTGCTCTTTAACATGAGCTAATTAACCCCTCTCTTAACAATCTGAGTGCAACTGATAAAAGCATTAAGTCATGGATAAAAGAAAGCCAGCAGTTGTAACCCAGTCCTCAGACGAGGACCAGTGAACAGTCAGGGTGCCATCAATGCACCACTCACTCATGGCTCCACTTGCCTCCAAATCACCCACTGTGCAAAAGTGGAGACTGTGAGTGTTAATAAAGGCTTGCATTTAATGCATAAGGGCAAGGCCACTGCCAGCATCACTGACAAGAGATCTTAATAATAAAAATAGGCAGCATTTATTTTCCTGATGTATGTGATCCATACTCAATTTCCCACCATCAGTTTAAGTGTATGGAGGGGTCATTTTGAGCCTGGGCAGAGTGCCAGGGGTGAGCTGTGCCAATATATGTCTATATTTTGTTAAGAGTCCATCCTGGGTTTTAGCTAGGCTGTGGAATTGCATGCTGTCTAAAGAGGAGGGACCAAATATCACTGAGGAGAAAAGAGTGACAAGGAGAAAAGGCAAGCAAGACAAAAGCAGACCTGGAAAGGCAGAAACAATTGGTTGTATGTAGGAAATGAGCCTGCCAGGTGGAAGTAGGACATGCTGGTTTACAGAAGTCATAAGTAACTCCATCCTGTCTCTGTTCAGGCTCCTCAGAGATGAAGGAGCCAGAGACCAAGTGGATCTCATAGAAGGGAACTCTTGCAGCTTTGAAGGGCTTCTCTAGCACAGGGATAGGGATGTTTGTGGAGTTTCAAGTTGGAGCCTTTGCATTTCCTGGCCAAGTCTCAGAATTCCCAAGGTCACCTTGCTGTGCTGGGAGGCACAGGCCTCTCATTCAGGAACTCCTGAGCATCACAGAAGAGCTCACAGCTGGAGTGTGAGGCTCCTGTCACTAGTGCAGGGCCAGGCAGCTGTGGAACACGTGGCAGCACAACTCAGAGTGACAAAACCCCTGGGATCTCTCACAGTCCTTGGGCTGCATTAACACAAACAGCACTCTTGAGCACATCATCTTAAAAACCTCCTTGCAAGAAAGTTGCTGCAAATCCCTCTGTCTTTTGGTGCCACTTGGAACTGAAAACTTTTCCTTCACATCTCTGGCAGGTGTGGCAGCTTCTGAGCTACCACTGCAGGTGAGAAGATGCCTCCAGCCTCTCTGCTCCTGCAGCAGCTGCTCTCAAGGTGCAGGTAAAGGAGTTCCTTTGGTGTTTCTGCAGAGCAGAGTAACTGGGAGATAGTTCAGAGAGCCCCAGCTGGGGCTTCATCCCTCCCCACACCTGATGGGAGAGGTTGTACAACTTCACATCTGCAGCCACCCAGACATCACTCCTTGCCTGGCTGAGAGTCCAGCAAGCAGCTTAGTCCCTGCATCCTGGGAAATAAAGAGAGGTTAGAAACTTTTCAGCAGGGCCTGGGAGCTCCCCCTCACCATGCTCTGGAGGTGAGTGCTGGCAGCTGCAGGGAATGGGGATGAATGGATGAAGGGTTGTGGAAACACACACAGGCGAGCAATGAAATACAAGGAAAAATACAAGAAACACAAAAGTGTTTTCACTGCTGGCCCTCTCCTTGGGGAGGTCAAGTGTCCTCAGAGTCTGGGGGTCCAGGACCCCACAGCTTGGGGACATTACTGTGGCAGTGCAGGGAAACAAGGTGAATTATGTGCTGCGTAAAAGGGACCTGGGCTGCAGAATCACAAGGGGAGGAGGTGGGGCGAGTCAAGAGATAATGCCAACATTAAAAGATAAAATGGATTAACATCTCCTGGCACACACAGAGCTGCGTGGGTGGAGCAAGAGGTTGCAATAGCTGTTTAAAAGGGACTGAGACAGCTGGACATCCACATATTTTTCCTCTTAAAAACAAAAATCCATCCCAAAAGCTGAGCTTAGCTGATGCTGTCCTCCAAAGTCCAGGTCAGGCAGGCTGGCTGGCAGCAGTTGGGAGGTATCAGGACAGGGACTCCTGCCTGACCTACATGGGGCTAACAGATGATTTTTACCCTCAGGCTCTGGCAAAAGGTTGCAGAATCCATGGAAAATAGCTCACAATCATATATTTCCATTTCTGTTTCAGCCTGGAATTCGAGCTGTGGTGAGTGTTGGGAAAAAGGAGGCCACACATTGCTTGTCCAAGGCAACTGTTCCAGCATGTCTGCAGGATGAACCATGGGCCTGGTTAGGATGTGATTAAAGAGGTAATTCTCCCTCCCTGTGCAGATGAGGGCTAAGTGTGGCTTAAGTAAATTACTGGCTGGCTTGTTATAGCCCTGGCTGAGTTCCCTTGTTGTGCAGGGCTTGGTTTTTTACATCCAATTTGCTCTGAAGCCCAGAGTGTCACAACAGCATTCCAACACCTGCATCTCTGCCCTTGTCTGACACCCTTCTCTGCTGGATGATGGGACCCCAGGGACCTGCTGGAGATGGCTCTGAGACACAGGCTAAGCCCCATCAGTTTCCCTAATAGTTTCTGATGTTCATTCCTTGAAAGTTCCTCCCTCCTGACCATGCTGGTCCATGATTTGATGATCTTCAGGGACTTGCTGACTGAAAGCCAGAAGCACTTTGCTCTCAGCTGAAGGATTTTTAACATTTTGTTCACAACATGGCATGGATGAGCCTACAAACCTTGGGGAGGTTAACAACCCCCAATTCCCTTTTGTTTCCACCCTTGTGTTGATACCCTTTCAAGCATCTTTTGGCTCCTGATTTATGCCCTGGGGAGGATGTTAACCCTTCCAGTTCCCTCCCTGCTCCCTCATGTCACAGCCAGAGCTCTGCCCTTTGGTTTATATTTGTATGGAGCATTTTTCTGTGGAGTTCAACATCAGTTCTATCTTCACTCCATCTCTTGCCATTTCCCATGAGGACTGGCCTGAGGGGCTCAGCTGGTAGAATCATAGAATATCCTGAGTGGGAAGGGGCTCCCAAGGACCATCGAGCCCAGCTCCTGTCCTTGCCCAGGACAGCCCCAGGAATGCACCGTGTGCCTGAGGGTGCTGTGCAAATACTCCTTGGGCTCTGCCAGCCTCGGGGCTGTGATCACTTCCCTGGGGAGTCTGTTCCATTCAATCTCATAATGGCCCCACTTCTAATAGCGAAGTGGCCTTACAACAGCAGCCCTTTGCACGGGTTATTTTGGGGTGCAAACCCCTGTGATGCTGCCACAGGACCTCGCGTCCCCTAAAAGAGAAGCAGGAATTTTATTGCTTATGCTGAACAGCTGCTGGGACGCAGCGGAGCAGCTGTTCCCGCATAAGCTCATGAAGTTTGCTCCGTGGCTGCTGGAGCAGGGCTGTGTCGGTGCCAGCACCGCCATCCCGGTCCCCATCCCGGTCCCCATCCCGGTACCCCGGGGATGCCGCGCCGCGGTCCCCGCTCCTTGCGGCCGCCGGGACGGGGCGGAACGTTCGGCGCGGCCCGCGCGTTCCGGGGGGAAGGAGCCGCGCGCGGACACCGGCGCCGCCATCATGGCGGCTTGAGGCGCGGCGGGTTCAGCGGCGGGACGGGAGGCCGGGAGCGGAGAGGTAATGCCGGGGCTGGGAGAGGCCTCCCGGGAACAGGGGCGGCCGTGGGGGACCCCCGGTAAATTACATCCTGCGGCAGGGCCCGGTGGGGCCCGAGGGCTCTGCCGGGGGTCTGGAGAACGGCAGGGCCGGGAAACCCCCGCCCTCCTGCTGCAGGGTCTGCGGGCCGCTTCCCGCCCTGAAACTCCTTGACCTACCTGAGAAAGGCCTGGCCGCGAGAGAAGCCCGGCTTGTCCCTCTGCTTGGGTTGTTGTAGCTTTTGGACAAGCTACATTGGAGGGTGTGCTGTATTTCAGTCACTTCTCCGCGGGGTGATGGGCTTTGGAAACGGCGAGGTGTTCCCTGTGACACGGCTGTGCGCACAGGTTGCAATAGCACCGCAATTGTTTGAACATTTATTTGGAAAGGGGCAGAGAATTGGCATCTCTTCCCCGTCGGGCATGGATACAGCCAGGCAGTCTTTTGTAACCTCACACACCAGCGTGTGGTTTGATCACCTGTGAGGGAGGACAAAAGAACTGTGAAATCTGAATCTCATTCCCAGTACAGTCAATCCGTGTTGTCTCGTGAGGAAATGGCCCTCTCTGTGAGCAGAGGGAGCACGCTGATGTGTCAGGCAGGCACACTGACTGTTGTGTAGTGCAGGGGTTTCTGGCAGAGCTGAGGTGCTGTTCAGCCAGGCTGCACGTGTGCCCCTGGTGGAGAGAACCCCAGAGAGACTTGGGGGGCTGAGATATCTCAGCGTGGAGAGTGTTAAAGGCTGCCCTCTAAAGCTCAGACCGTTTGTACCTGCAGGTGCAATAGAACAAAGTGAAGTGCATTTTTAGAAGTTGACTGACACAGGAAGCTGTGGTGCCTTCACAAGCCTTGATTTGGTTAGGCCGGGTGGAACAGCAAAGCCCCCGTGTGACTGTGCTGCCCCCACAAGGGTGGGTCACACAGAGCCAGACAGGTTCTCTGCTGTTTGGCTTTCATCAAGGTTGTGCCCTCTGCTTGATAATTATCCCATAGAAACAGAACACAAAACCTCCCTTATCTGCTCAGTCCTTCGTTTGGTCTCTGAATAACATGCTTGGGAAGTTTTGTCTTGGTTGTTTGTAAACAAACAGCTCATTTTGTGGAACTTGTTCATAAATAGTGGTTTACATTTCAAAAGCAACATGTTGGTGCTGGGAGACAGCATGCACACCAGAAATGTCAGGCAGCAGCAGAAGACAAAGATTCTCTTTACAGGGACTTAAATAGAGCCTTTGTAGAAAGGAGATTTTTATCACTGAAGCTTCCCAGTTAACCCCAAACACTTGAACTGCCCAGTGCAGACAGGGGAGCTGCTTACAGGCCCCTCACAGTTGTTTTTGCCTTTTGGGCTCAGGAAGCAATGGGAATTCTGTGGAATTCACACTATATCAATAGGAAAAGGTGGATGTGTGGGCATGCAGAGTGCATCAGTCCCTCACAGGGAGTTCTGTTGCTGCTTTGGAGCTGTGTAATGAGGAAGGAGGAAGTCAGTCAAGTGTATCAATAAGCATCTTTAGAGTTGGCATTATTTGGCAGCATCACTAGAAGGAAAAGTCTGGAAACAGCATGAAATCTAAACTCTTGTGTTATAAGTTTTAGGGAACTGCTCAGACAGAAATTTTGCTTAGAAATTGTGGGAGTCATCCTTGCTCCCCAGCTAAATCAGCAGTTGAACCTGCTGGGTTTTTGGCCTGTCCCCTGAATGCTGAAGAAAAGGCTGGCAGCTGAAATGTTGCTGTGCTGAGCTCCTCCTGGTCCCCTGGCAGGCAGAGCCCAGCAGAGGAGAAAGGATGTGTTAATATTATGTTCTTTTACTGACAGATTGAAAACCTAGAATGGCAGGAGAACAGAAGCCATCCTGCAATCTTCTAGAGCAGTTCATTTTACTAGCCAAAGGAACAAGTGGCTCAGCTCTGACTGCTCTTATAAATCAAGTGCTGGAAGCTCCTGGGGTTTATGTCTTTGGAGAGCTGTTGGAGTTAACAAATGTGAAAGAGGTAAGAGTTGAGTTTTTATTCTAATTCCCCTTCTGCACTACTGGCATAAGGGATCTCCAGAAGTTTCCACAGGCAGCCTGTGGGTGAAATTTCTGTGCCAGGAGGGCCTGTTGCAACTTACCTGGGTTGAGAGATGTTTCTGAATAAGAGAATGACCTTGCTTTTGCCTGTATATGTTAGGTGTTAAAGAACACCTATAGAAAGCTTTGCTACCTTAAGGCAATTGCTAGCACAGCAAAAACCTGGCAGCAGCACTGTAGCACTTTTAAGAAGGAACTTTGGCAGCCAACAAGGAAAAATCCCTTTCTACTTCTTTACTGTCCTGGAAAGCAGAACTTCAGTGCTCTCCAAAAGTCTTTGTGAACAGATGTCTAGTGGATCAGGCCTGGGTGGCAACCAAATCCAAACCATTGCAAACCAAGGTGGAAAGCAAGTTCCAGAGCTCTTGCTGAGAGTGCTTTGCCAGCCCCTGCCTCTTCTACAATGAAGGAATCTAAGCTGGTATCTCTGCAGCTGGAGTAACACAGTGTACAGCAAGTTTGGCTTTCCAAACAGGCCCTTAAATATGCACAAAAGCACCTCAATGGTTATTCAGTATCAAATGACAAATGCTGGCTTTTTCCTGGGTTTGTGTGCAGCTAATGGTATTAAAAACCCAATCAATAAAAATCACTGCTTGGTGCTGCCATTATTCCAGTGGAGTGTTTGCAGCAAGAGAGGAGCTGTTACCTCCAAGTGCACTCCAGTGCAGTGTCCCAGCTTGCTTTGCTTGAAGCTGTGGTGGCTCTGCAGGTAAACTGTCCCAGCTTTCACAGGATCCTCACCAGCCATCACCATCACCTGCTTGCTTATCACCTGATAAGAGGAGTGGCCCTGTAGGTTGTCAGCTGGGTTAAGATTTGCTTTTTTCTTTTCCTCCCAAGTTGCCACACAAAGCATTGACAGTCCAAACTGGAGCTAAGTTCCAGTGCACAGAGTTGGCTGGATCATCTTGACTCTAAAACTCCTGAAATTTGCTGCTCTTGAGGCCTTGGGAGGGTCCAGCTTGGGATTAGAATTGCTTTTCTGCTTAAGTCCTGTGCAGACTTCAGCCATTCTCTGGAGAAGGTGCCTTTCAGGGTTGTGTTGCCCATTTTATGTGATGTTTCTTTTCTCCCCATGCAGCTTGCTGAGGGCTCTAATGCTGCTTATTTCCAGCTGCTGAACCTGTTTGCATACGGAACCTACCGGGACTATGTGGGTAAGAGACTGCTGCCCCTTTGCAGGGGCTGGGACTGGGCTGCCCTTCAGGACTGGCACAGGCAATTCTTGGCTTCCTTACATGCCAGGTGTAGAGTGGCTGGGTGAAAGCATCCAGGAACAGGAGTTGCTTAGGAGGAGAATTTTCTGTAGGGGTCTGGGTCGTGTGTGCTTTTTGCTTGCTAAAAATGAAAGGAAGGGTTAGAGACTCTGGGGTGCTGCTGGTTTGGATGGGACTGCAGTGCTGGGTTGAATTCATCTGCAGCAGAATTCAGTGATGTTCACAGGCCACTTACCTCTGCAGAGGGAAATTTCAGACATCTCTATGGGAATTTAGATAACACCAGTTATGGAAACTGCAGAAAACTTAGACAAAATTGTTCTGCATTATTTATAAAAACCTATGTGGTTTGTGAGATAACCTTTTATTCCGTGACGGCATTGCTGAAACAAAGTGAATAATTTCTTAGCTAGAATACAAGTTGAAATAATGACTTTTATACAGCTTTAGAAAGACTATGTGTGAATCATCTTTGTATCTGTTGAAATGTGCTTTTATCTCTAGTGCTTATGCTTCCATTCTGCTACAATTTAATGCTTCATTTGTGGGTAGCAGCCTCATCCAGACCATTACAGAGTGTGACAAATAATTCTGTCATAGTGCTGTTTCTCAGGGTGGTGGATGAGCTATCTAGTTCCTGTAAGGAGCAGTGGCATCTTAAAGTGCAAGGACTGGAAATTCCAGTGTCTGTGGAGCAACATGATCCTCATGAATTCTGTGACTGATTAGAGGATGTGCTTGCTGTCCATGCTCTTGTGTCACTGTGTGACAGCACAGTTCATTCTTCCTTTTCTAGTGAAGAAAGAGAAAGAGGGAAAAGCAGTCAAAATGAAGAGCACTGGATGAGGTGGGATGGATGGGAGAACTTGAGTGGCCCTGAAACACTAATTTCCATTAAAGTAGATGTTTTAAAGAGTTTCTTGGCTTTGGAGGGCTGCCAGTTTCCTTTCTCTTTTTAAATATTCATGAGGCACATGGATATAATACAGTGACAGTGTGGCCATCTAGATTAATGATTTCTGCTCTCTTCCTCAGCTTGGTACTTTGCAGTTTAAATTCTGCAGCTCTTCAAAGAAATAAAACCAGCTGTATTTGCAACTACATCAGCAAAGGGGGAAGATTTTTTTCTGTCAGCTTGTTAATGAAACAAAAATTACTTGGTAGAAGCAAAGCCATTGACCAACTGTTTCAGCAGGGCACCAGTTATGAATTACCTTATAATTCCAGAACCAGAATTACTAAAGAAGCAGATAAGAATGGAATTGCCAAGTTGTTCTTAACTTTTCCCCTTCTCTCCCTGGTTGTGCCAGTTTATCTGCAGCAGCACGTTCTGCTCACCAGCCAGCACCCACATTAGCTGGAGGTGTTCAGTATTTCAGGGTGTAGTGTAGCATAACTAGCCTGGAGTTCTGCAGCCTGGATTATGCAATTTTCAAAGTGAAGTCCTGAATCTTGTCTTTTTGACATTAACAGCAAACAAAGATAACCTGCCTGAATTAACAGTGACTCAGAAAAACAAGCTGAAGCACTTGACGATCGTGAGTCTGGCTTCCCGGATGAAGGTAAAGTGTGTGGGGTTTGACAGCTGTTGTCTCTTGGTTTTGTTTTAGAAAATGGCATCCATTCCAGAGCACTGAAGTTGTATCAGACTGCATGGGTACTCACAAAAAAAAATCCTATACTGGGAAAGTACATGTAGGGTACATTGTGCTTTCCATGTGCATTTGGGATATTGACTTAGTGGACTTCCATGGGTGAAGTGTGGGGGTGTCTGAACTGACATGCAGATTGGTGAGGAAGGTCTGGGAACTTTGTATGGCTTTTTTTTCACTGCTGGAGATGGAGAATGATTCTTTAAAACACTAACTTTTTCTTCTAGAGAAAATTATGCAACACTCTTAATTTCTTCTACAATTCCATTTACCTTTTTTTTCTAGAATGTGCTATACTATACCAAAGCCTCAGGAATTACCAAAGTTGTGTCAGAATATTTCACAGCCTGGCAAGCATTTGTTCTGCCATGATCAGTCACTGCTGCACCTGTAGGTCAAATTGTAGGATACAATAAGCATTTGAGTCTCAACCTTTTGAGACTTAGCCATTCATTTTGCTCTAGGACTGTTAACTTACTCTTGATCTTGCTGTTTTTAGTGCATTCCCTATTCTGTGTTGCTGAAGGACCTGGATATGAGGAATCTGAGGGAGCTGGAAGATCTCATTATTGAAGCAGTTTACACAGATATTATCCAGGGGAAGTTGGATCAGCGAAACCAGGTGTTAGAGGTGGATTTTTGTATTGGCAGAGACATTCAGAAGAAGGACATCAGTAACATTGTCAAAACACTCCAGGAATGGTGAGGCAGTCTCTCCACCCTCCTTATTCCTTGTACATAGCTTGTCCTGTTTTCCCCCTCACAGTTTCAAGTGCTGGCTCAATTTCACCATGTTCCATTAATCAGGAGTCTTATGCTATAAGTAGGCACTTGGAGGAGGAGTCTGTTGGGCAAGTTTTCCAAGATCCCATCTGGGATTCAGTTTGTATTACATATCAAGCCAAACTCTACCACACTGTGAGCTTCTGCTCTCACTGTAGCTTTTACATGGCAGAGCCCAGTGACGAGTCAAGGACTTTGCAGAAGGAGGTGCCAAACTGGACTCATGGTTCTGTGGTGGGAGCTGCAGCACTTAATAATGAGGGCAGAGCTGTTACTTTTCAGCCTTTTTCACTGTGTTGAGAACTGTGTGGGCAAATTCTTAAGAATCACAGCTCTTTGGACGGGATGTTTCTTCAAGTTTGAAGTTTCAGGTGGCTTTGTCTTCTCTTTGCTCCTGCAAATGCAGCCTGTCTGCAGCTGTAGTGGGACTGGGGCATTATCTCTTTGTACCTTTGCCAGGAAGCTGTTTCTCATCTTTTGGTAGGATTCCCTTCCCACCTAAAGAAATTTCTACATAGACTGTGGAGCCCATGGCAGGTCCTGAGCTGACTGGGAATTGCTTCCTAGTTGCTATGGTAATGAGTGCATAAAAAGTAATTAAACTGCTGGGCAAATATGCTGTCCTGTGGTGGGGGCAGGATTTTTGCTTCTCTGCTCCAACTCCCTCAGTCCCATCACGGTGGGAGGGCTCTGACAGCTTCCAGGACCTTGCAGCATTGTTTGGAAGGTAACAGTGAACCCACTGCCAATTCCCTTTTTGTCTTTTCCAGTTCTTGAGTTCCATGCTGAGTGCTCTTGTCATTTGAACACTTAACAGGCAGGAGGATTATATCAATATTACTTTTTTCTATAATTTAAAAATTTTACATTTGAATACTGTGTTGCATCCTGTTTAAGCTGTGATTCTCTCTGAAAAGGAAGATGAAAGTGCATTGAACCTGCAGTTACTCTCTGATGGTAAGGGTAACACAGACTCTCTAGAGAGTGCTGAGAAATGCATCAAGTACACAGCAAAGCTTTTTCTTACCAGCTTTTTGCAACTCTAAGCAGGAAGTATAAATTTAATAATCTCTTAAACTTTTAGATGAGTGTGACTTTTCAGTTTGCCTGATTGAGCTGCTCCAGGGAGAATTTGTAAACACTGTTTGACATCATTTGTATCTTGCAGGTGTGATGGCTGTGAAGCAGTTCTTTTAGGAATTGAGCAGCAAGTACTTAGAGCCAACCAGTACAAAGAGAACCACCACCGAACTCAGCAGCAGGTAGAGATGGAGGTGAGTACAGTCATCTCAGGCCCCTATGCTGTTGGATAAATGTTTGTTTGCTGAAGGAAATAATCTCTATGATAAACACCTGGTTGGTGGTCACAGCTCTCAGAAGAAGGCTGACAATCATGCAAATCAGGCATGGGGTAGAAAGAAAACACATCTGCTTCTGAGTGCTAGTATGACCACAAACATCAGGCGTCCAGCAGGGTGGACGTTTTATTGATAAATTTTTATAAATTTAGGCTAGGTGACTGCACTAATTGTGGTTTCCTGTATTGATTCATTAGGAAAACTATGCTTTTACCACAAATCTTTATTGCAACTCTATTCCCTTCGTACAAGGCAGGCAGGGGGTAAAAGTCACTTCTCTGTAAAACGTGGAAGTGTAGTTAAAAATCTCCGGAGCCTCAATTGCTTTTGCAGGAGTGCCCGCGGCGGCTCCCCCGTGTCGGGCCGGGCCCTGCGCGCTCCCGCCGCTAGGTGGCAGCACGAGCCCGCGCTCCGGCCCTGAACCTCGGCCCCGGCGCTGGGGAGGCGGGGATGGGCTCCCAAGGCGCTGCCTCAGGGGTTATCATCCCTGCGGGTTTATGTCTGCACCTGCTTGGAGGCCTTATCCGTATCCATAGCACTTTTGGTTTGCCTCATGCCTTTGGCTTGGAGTTGGCACACCTGACTCCCAAACCTTGGGGTTTTTTTGATGGTTTGCTCACTGCATTTGTGGTGAGCCCTGCAGAATTCCAGGGGATCAAGGATGGTGCTTAGTGCTGTATCTCTCCTTTTCAGCCAGAGTAGCAGAAACATTACTGCCACTTCCCACAAAACCAATTTCTTTTCCTGCTTCTTAGCAAATACCTGTGTCTCAGGTAGTCAGGTAGGCCAAATGGCATTTTTGCTTTTTAAGCTCTGTCCTGAGAGTAAATTTTTCCTTCATGGTCTCCTTTCCCCTTCCTGTGTCTGGCTGACAGAATGGTAGGATGGCTCCTTCTCCACCAGGGCAGTAGTAGGTCCCTCCAGCCAGATAGAAGGGTGGTACAATATTGTACCACTGTCTCTTAGGAAAAAAGTAATCCCTAGTTATTCCAGACTGGAAATACCATCAGCTCTGTCTATAAATGAGGATGAAACATTACCTATATTAAACTCAAATGGAGAGCATGTTACTGCTGGGAGAGTCTCTTTTATAATCTCCACTCTTATACACCAGGGATTTTTCAATATGTTTATGAACAGAGTGTTTGCTGAAGGGGAGGAAGAAGCAGGTGCTGATTCACTGTCTCTTCTTGGCCAGGTCACAAACATAAAGAAAACATTAAAAGCTACAGCCTCGTCGTCGGCACAGGAGATGGAACAGCAGCTGGTAGAGCGAGAGTGCCCTCCACACACAGAACAAAGGCAGCCCACAAAGAAGATGTCCAAAGTCAAAGGGCTGGTCTCCAGCCGTCACTAGAACATGCCATCTAATGTCATTCAGTTAGGAATGGCAACAGGAGGAGCAAAAAGGGCCTGCGTCTCCTTTTTCAGTGGGTTCTGGGCCAGTCCCTTCCCAGCTGGCAAGTAAAAGCCCTGTTTGAACAGCTCCCAGTTAGCAGCACCTGGCTAAGTTACACTGTGCAGCTCCTATGAGTTTTCAGGGTGTCCCTGCTCTGGTCCTGTCAAGAGGGACTTTTAAAGAGAGGGACTAACCAAAAGGGGCAGGAAAAAACCAAAATATCTGTGGGCCGTTTTGCTCCCTCCCAGCCAGTTCATTGCTGCTTAACCTTGAGGAAGCTGCTCTACTGAATCACATCATGGGACAGCTTCTCTAGCAAGCATGTGAATCCCATTGAAGTGTGGCTACCAAAGCCAGGCTGGGAGTGAGGAAGCCATCAGCACAGATCTTTTCATTCCCAAAGGGAGCACAGGAAGGTTTCTAGGCCAGGAACTGCTTTTCATGGAAGCCTTCAGCCTTTCCACTACCCCTGTCTATTTTAAACTGGGGTGAAATTCACACTACCTCGCTCTGTGAAGATGAGTTCCAGTGCTGGGCTGTTTACTTAACTGTCTGTTTACTGCCCTTACTAAGCCCTTTAATCTCTCACAGATGTAAAGCACTGTTCTGCATCTCTGAGGCATCAGTACAACGAGGAGGAAGCAGGCTGCTCTTTCACACAGACCTTGCAGGTGGTTAGGGGCATGTTAGAAACTATTCCTCCTGAATGTGATGTGACCTCCCAGAGCTGCTTGTGAGTTGTTTCCCCCATTGATACCTTCAAAGGGTAATGCATTCTCTCTTCCTTGGATGCTGGCAGTGGGAGAGGAGCCTGTTTGGCATGGAGGCAGGCTGGTGGCCCAGGACCCACTGGCAGGGGTCGCAGCAGCATCCCCTTGCTGAAGCAATGGACTTGATGAGTCTTTCTGAATTTTGAACACTTTCAGGTTGTATTTTCCTCCTTTTTTTTTGTGGTTTTTTTTTTGTACATTGTTGTGATTCTAAAGCATTTCAGCCTTTGTTTTGTGGGCGGTTTTTTTATTTGTTACAAACTAACTTCAGGTGATTTGCACCTAGTTTGGCATGGTGTGGGGTTTTTTTTTAAGGGGGAAGCATTGGAACAGCAATTCATAAAAAAGTACATTTTAGAAAAAAAATTAAAAATGGTGATTTAATGTCAGAGTCTGGAGTCTTGACTTGGAGGCTGTTTTAGGCTTGTTGTCCAATGGCACTTGTTCACTTGAGCATATTTGATTCTTGGTGTATGTTGACTGAAGTCTGACTGATCTCTCTGATGCATCTGGGAGACAGGGAAGCCTCTTTACGTTTTGTCAGTCGTTCATCTTTGTCCAGGTTTGTGCAGAAGGATGTGTGGCAAAGCTGGTAGCTGAGCCCCGTGTCCTGAGCCTAAACAGCTTTGATGCCTGGTTGTGGAAGGTTCAGAGTTGTGCTCTTAGGCCAGTCAGTTCCTTCCTTTGCATCTAGCAGAGTGCTGCTTTGTAGTTTGGCTCCTGCATTTCACTTCTGTAAAGAGAAGCTCTTTTCCTGGGCAGGCAGGGGAGCTGTTTAAGCAGAGGAGTGTGACAATGCTCCAGTCCTGCAGCCAGCTGTCACCTGCATTTGCTCGTGCAATGCACGTGCCTTCCTCTCATTGCTACCAGGACTCTGCCATCTGTGTGTTTGCAGTCCTCAGTCACAGGACTTGCTCACTTGTGAAAGTAAATCTTTCTCCTTTTCTTCTCCTGCAGTGCAGGCACACCAGCTTTCAGTCTGGAGAGGAAGATCAAAATAGTCTCCCTCCAGCTTCCTCTGAGTCAAATCCCAGACACTTCTGATTCTTTACCAGCTCTCTCTCCCCCTAGAAATGCAACAAGGATGTTAAGTGGATAAGCCCAGAGCACGAAGCCTTCACCAGTAGCTCAATGGAACTGTTTCCCAAGCAGTGGCAGGATTAGCTCCTGTTTCACCTTCTCACAGGGTTCAGCTGATGGCTTCTCAGGAGGTGCAGGTGGACCTTGTGTTCCCAAGTCTGTGATGGAGATGGACTGTGTCTGCTTCTAGCCTGCTGTGTGGACAGCTGCCATGTGCTGGTCATCCATTTCCTCACTAGATTTGACTATTGAGGCTCTATGGTCCTCTTTCCATTTTTAATATCAGTCCTGCAAAGTAGCAAGAGGAATACAAATGCCTTTGGGAATCATTTTAGCTCCTCATCAAGCCACAGTCTGCTGGGGAGGTAGATGTGAGTTTGGTGGCCTTGATGTTTATTCCCTGCCAATTTCAGGAGTCACATTAGTTTACTGAAGCTTCTTTTGTGGTTGGAAGTTGTTGAGTTTGTTCTTGTGTTTTTGCTGTTCTCAAAGCCTGGCTGGGGGTGAGGATTTTATTTACGCTTTGGTTCACATTGCCTTTGATCAGCAAAGCAGCAAGAGAGGAAATAGCACTTTGAATAAAGAGCTGTCCCATGTCTGATGGTGACAGAGGACAGGGAAGGGGCTGGTGTGTTGGAGGGGATGGAGCTGTTTGCATGCTTGGCTTTCCTGGTGTGCCAGCAAAGGGCTTGGTGCTGCAAAAGGAGGGGGATGTCTGCAATGAGCCCAGGCTGAGATGAGTCATTAACAAATGACATGCACAGAGTACCTGGGGGAGGCAAACAGCTCTGCAGCAGCTGGTTAATGAATCTGGCTTGAAGGAAAGAGTCAGAAGCTATTCCAGAAATGAAGCAGAAGGCAGAGTTGTTAACGGGCAAGGATGCAGGAGGTGCTGTGCTCTTTGAGAACAACAACAGACAAAGACTGTGTTGAGTCCTGTTGACTACAGGAAAGGCAGCAACTCAGAGCAGAGTTGTGAGAATTAGGGGCTGAATTGTGGGGAGTGCCCAGGGAGCTGAATTGCTATGGGGACGAGAGGGAGGGGGAAGCAGAGGCAGATTTGATGCAAACTCCCATGGATTGCCTGTGCCTGCTGGAGGCAGCCAACACAGCTTGTCTGAGCCCTGCTGGAGCTGCTCCCTGGTGCAGGGCGAGCATCCTGCCCTGCTTTGGTTTATGGCAGCAATGGGATGCTCCAGCTGCAGAGATTGCAGCAGGACAGACTTTGAGCTATCAAACTTCTGTTTGCCTTTTCCACCCAGAGGGAGAGAAAGTGGATGGAAACTGCCTTCCCTCTGCTCTTCAGGGCTTTATTGTCTAGCTTTGTGTTCTGCAGCTCCACTTGTACTAGTGCTTGTTTAATATGGAATTGAGCAGTGAGCTGGAAAATGGAAGAGAGGATCTCAGCTGATTGCAGTGCTGGTAGGCTGCCCTGGCCCTAAAGCTGTGCCTCATGCTAACAAATGTCCCTGGCACTCCTGCCGAGACTCGCTGATACCAGCTATCAGACAGTTCTGGAACACAATAAAGCAGTGCTGATGTCAGTCTCTAAAAGGAGAAAAATAAGTTTTGGATTAAAATCTCTTCTTCTTTTACTTCCCTCCTCACCTTCTTAGCTAAGTTGAATGCTAACTTACTCTTGTGTTGAGAGCAGAAGGGAAAATCAGTGATGCTGACAGACCATTCTGTCTTCAGATTTGAGACCTGATCTGCAATCAATCTTGTGCAGCCCTAAGAAATCCCATGGATGCTTGTGGAGCTGCTCTCAGGCTTGCAGGTCTCTCTCCATGGATCATGTAAAGGAGTAGGACCTGCAGAGCTGCTCTCCAGAGTGAAGCTTTTGGGCAGAAAGTGAAGCTTTTGTTCCTTACAGAAGGCAGTGGTCAAAAGAAGTGGCAATTTTCCCACCAGCCTTGCAAAGTGAATTTTACTGAACATCTTTCAGTTCCTGAAAGAATGTAAAAGGATGCAGACCCCAGAGGGTGTTTTTGGTTTTAGTGTTCTTATCCTATGAGGGCAAAATGCGTTGGTCCCTGTGTGCCAAGCAGACTTGTGCTTACTCACTGCAGGGAAGACAGAAGAAACAGTGCCCTTATCTCTGATAGCTGTATTAGAACTGAAATTGCATGGGCAAACCAGACTTTTCCTAAACTTTCAGTTCTGTACAGGGTTATATGAGTTCAGCTGAGCTAGAAACCACACAAAGCCCACCCCTGCCCAGTAAAGCAGCCCAAACTTGTGCATTCATGGGGCTGTTGGTGCTGGGGATTCCTATTTTTGGTCTGAGCCTGTTGCAAACTGCAATGCAAAAAAACAACCTTGCTCTTTATTATTTTAAATAATGGGGAAATTAAGAGCCTGCCCAACAAACACAATAGCCCTATCTCAGGCACCTGGTCACAAAGTTTCCTGTTGTTTTTTTTCCACCCCACTAAGTCCTCTATAACACCTGACCAAGGGAACCAAAACCTGAGTCTGCATAGCATATTTTTGTATAACCTGAAAGAAAGTAACCCAGGGGCATCAAGAAAGGTAAATAAATTAAAGTTTAGAGAGGTCTCAGTTCCTACTTGTAACCTCAAGCTTGTATTGTTAATTTGGAATTTTAGCCTGACAGTGTGATTGAATTTCTCGGCAGAGTTTTTAGCAATATGTCATTGTTTCATTCTGCTCCATGACGAAGGTCCGTGTCTCTCAGGGACTGTTGACATTTTGCTGATAGTTCCTCAAGTTTGGCCCTCCCTCAGAGCTCCCAGAGGTAAGTGCTTGTAAAGAGAGTGTGTGTTTACCCCCCAGGCTGGGCTGACCCTGCCTCTCAGCATCCCCAGGGTGCTACTCCCCTCTCCAGTGGGTCAGCCAGGCAAAGGAATGGGCACAGCAGCACTTTGCTCCCTGGCAGTGAATCCACAGTGTGCACATCTCTTGACATGCCCCACTGCCTGAGTGTGGTAGCTGTGACCACAGTTTTTTCTTGTTGATAAGAAGAGATGTCCCTGCTCTAGTGAATGTGCATACATACACACTGGAAATTCCAGGCAATAATGGGATGCCATAAGGTCATTTAACAATCCTGAAATACATATTTCCCCACAAAGCACAAAATCATTTCTGCCAGTAGTCTTTGCTTGCTGTAATTCTAGTAGAAGATGCACACACTTCCACATCTCCAGATCTTCAAAGAGCCTTTAGAAATCTGTATCATTAGGGTGTTTTTGAAATGCCCTGGTCACACATGAAAGCTCTGTGTTTCCAGAAGAGCTGATTGGGGTGGGTAAGCACAGCCTTGCTCCATCAGGGATCAGCCTCTTTGTGGTATTTGGAGCTTGTCTGACCATAGGCTGCATTTTCATGGGTATGAGGTTTGGAAATAGTGTTCTCTTGCCCTTCAGATTCTTCCCAGAGATGCTGTTTATCTCGCCAGCCCTCGTGGTTCACTCAGTGTCTCATGATTAGCACAGTCCTGAGGCTGCTCTGTGCTGATGCAGTCAGTAATGTCTCAGTGTTTCATTGTCACCTTCACAGCTGTTAGAGAGCACCAGTTCCTTCAGGATCACCTGCCAGCTGTGGTGCTGTACCTTTTACATCAGGACTTTGAGATGACACCTCTCCTTGCTGGCAGACAGGCCAGGTGGGTAGGCATTGCTCCTCAGAGCTGTTCTGCATCTCAGGAGGCACAGGCTGTAGCCTGCTTTAGCACAAAGGAAATCAAGGACAAGGACAGTTGTAAATAAGGGGCAAAGCACAGAACTGTGTCCTCTTCCTGCTGCAGCTGCAGAGAGCAACCTTGGGCAGATCAGTTCCTCTGCAGCTGCATTTCCCAGGACAGGCTTGCTCCTTCCTGCTGACTGTGACAGGGTTTTGGTCTGGCTGGGCAGAGGTTGGTTGCTGGTGGAGTTGAAGAAGATGAGTGTGTGCAGTAGGGGGGAAATCTTAACACCTTTTAAGCTTTTCCAGGAGTCATCTTCCTTTTAAGTAGCATACCTTTCTTTTCCCCTGATGCAGATAAGGTGGTCCATTGTGGGACTCTCAGCCTGGAGTATTATGGGTAATGTACCAGGTTAATTATGGAGGGGGCAGGAAAAATAGCCTGTGCAGTTTTCAACAATATCAAAGGGATGCCACCTAATGATTTTCCTATTAGCTCTTTTCCCATCCTGCCAGAGTCGCTGCAGAAGTGTCATTTACAAAGGCAGTTTGCAACTCATTACCCTGGATTTTCACTGTAGTTCTGCTCCAGGGAGCGTGGGCTTTTGCTGTGTGCCCCAACCTAATGAATTGCCTGATTCAGTTAGTGCTGCCATCCCTCCTGACAAGGTTAGTTGCTGACTGACAGGAAGGGGCCTGGATCCAATTCAATTCCCTTCTTGTTTTTAACTCACGCTTGTGTCAGGTGCAGGCTCCCTCTGGAAGTTGCCCTGTGATCCCTTCCCTTTTGTTTTTCTGCATTCTGAGGGAAGCAGCCCATGCTTGGAGAAGTCCTGGAGCAAGTGGCAGGGGCATGTTTGTTGCTGCCCCTGGCAGTCCCTGCTCCATGCCTCAAGTCCCTTTCCAGATGGAAAATTCCTTTGCTCTCCTGCTCTGGGACTCTGGGCTTCTCTTTTTTTCTTCATTGCTTTGGGATTTGCTGTCACCAGAGCTGGGCTTTGTAGCCCTTCATCAATAAGTACCTGGGAAGAATTGCATGAATGGTACCAGGGAAAAACGTGGAATATGGGCTGGGAGAACAGAACAGGTTTCCCACACATGAGAAGGCAACAGTGTCCCTGTTGTGAGTGCTCCCCAGTCTGCTCCAGCCTGTTTGGGCTTTGCCAGGCACTTGTACTGCAGCACTGGAGAAAGCTCTTTTTCCTTTTCCACTAGAGAGCTGTGTGCCTTTTCAGGCTGGGGGCTGATGGCTCAACTCCTGCTAGGAATTGCTCCTGGAGAGGAGAAATCAAGGCTGTTCCTACATCACATCAC